TGATAAGAATCTGTCATTTGGAGGAATGTATCAACTAGCCATCTTGCCCCATCAGTAATGAGTCTGATGGCTTGATAGTTTACCCCAACAAATTCAATTGATTCGGTGGGCCCGTCCTCAAGGGGAGGGCCCTTTGTTGAGAGTACACAACCAGGCGCCAACGCCCCAACTAGGTCCTCCAGGAGAGAGGTTAGAGCAAGGGTACCCTTTTTTCTGTAGTCTATTTTAGTAGGGGAACCCTCCCCCAAAAAAAGTTGGTACAAGGGCACCACTGGTGGACCTCGACGAATTCTATAACAAGCCAACGCCCCAAGCAGCAGGGAGCTTCTCCTGTGGCCCGACTCGATCCCATGCGGGCCGGCGGCGGGCCGCGAGTGCAGGCCGTAGAAGGTGCCGGCCAACCTGGGCGGCTTAAGGCGACCCGAAGCCCGAAGTCCGAAGGAGGAGTCCCCTCGTTTTTGGTCGCAAAGGGGCAGGAGTCAAGAGTACTCTTCTGAAATCTGTACCCTGAAATCTCACTCCCTGAGTGGATTGGTCAAACCAAGTCCAATCTCTTTATTTCTGCCACTAACATGGTCTTCCTGAAAAGTATAAAACTAGGTCTTCCAGTAGAGAGGTTGAAGAAGGGTACCCTTTCCTGGACCTTCCATTGTTACATAAATTTGTGTCACGAAAGAAAAATGCTCGGGGCAACTATTTTTGCCCAATGATCCAAAAAGTGCTCGTTCACCAAAAAACGCTCGTTTCATGAACACGGGTTTCTTGCAAAATACTAATTGTTACATATGTTGGATTTGCGCTCGTTTTGCGGGGATTTGCGCTCGTGTTGCGGTATTTGCGCCCGTTTTGCGGGTATGTGTCCGCATGTGTCCACGCAACAGACGACATGAGAAGAGAGAAGCCGCCGCAATAGCCAAGAATGCTCGAATCCAAATTTGTGCCCGTTCCACCGAAAAACGCCCGACTAGCAAATTTCTGCTACGAAACACCAAAGGGGCACAAATTTATGTAACGAATGAAGGTCCATGTTTTTTTTTTTTTTTTTTTTTTTTTTTTTTGTAGCCTATGTTAGTAGAGGAACCCTGCCCCAAAAAGGGTAAAAGGGCAGTACTGGGGGACCTAGAACTAGTCCAAGAACTCAGGAAGTGAGAACTCATTTGGCTCCGTGGATTCCGGGCACCGGGCGGGAAAACCGGCAGCTCCCATGTGTTCCTGGGCCTCAGTTCGTTGCCCGTGCTTTCAGGGGACAAACAGACCTCTATGACACGTGTGTCTTAAAATTGGGGACCCAAAAAATAGTGTTGTTCCTTTGGTTGTCCAGTTTTCCTTTGGTTCTCCGTTTAAACCAACCAAAAGGGGGGTAAGCCAACCAAACCGGGGGGTGATCTCAAAAACACACACACGGCCACATGAGTTTGACCCAGCGCATCTTGTTTTGCCTTCTGGCGCCGCAAACCGAGCTCCCGTGCAGCGGCCCAGAAGGTTCCTTTTGGAGCCATTGCACTGAGCTGGAAGCAGGGGCCACCTGGCAGATGCGCAAATGTTGGCCCAAATGCCCAGTGGCCATGGGAAAGAAAGAGCATCCTTTTTTGGTTGGAAGACTGAAAAGAAAAACCCTTCCCAAGAAAAGAAAAAAAGGGCACCACCGGGCAACTGGGTTGGCGTTCACTCATCGCTTGCCTCTGTTCCACCAAAAAAAAACCATGGCCGCTTCCCCTTGAGATGCCTGCACCCAATTATCCTTTTTGGAAAAAAAACAAAAACACATAACCCAGTTGAATAGCTAAACCACCAGGTAAACCTGGAATCGCCCTCTTTTTTTTAACCGGACCAACCAAAAAGGACAGCTATGTGCCTGCAAGCTAGCCTTTGGCTTGGCCCCGCGCTCCGGCTTGAAGCGGGAGCTCTAGCTGACATGTCGTCAATTTTTAGCGAGGGCTTCGTGGCGCGAGCGAAGAAAACTTGAGGCCCACCCCAGCAACGAATTAGGCCAACAAATCCTTCGGGGGGGGTGGGGGGTGGCATCTGATCAAATCCTAACAAACACACCCATCCTGCTTAACTCAGTGGGTCATGCATGCGGAAACAACGCCTGTGTTCTCTAGTACTTGATGGGCATCACGTGAGCTTTGATCCATTGCCATGTGAAGTCGTTGAGGTCATGGGCTGGGCCATGTTTGAGTCTTCATATTTCAAGCCGGACTTGGTCCATATTGCAATGTCTGCATTCACGCGTGACCCAATTTCTGGTTGCTCACTGTGACTGGCACTGGAATCCACCGGAGGCATCTAACTTTGGGCTACCATTCCCAATGGCATTTCAACGAAAGACTCGCAAGTTGAGGCTCCTAGGGGCATCTTTCGCAGGAACCAGTCGACACAGCTAACCAAAAAGCATCGGGCCCAGGCCCAGCCCAAACCAACGCGGCGCTGCCTCGCCGCTCGCCTGCGCGGTGGGCACATCCTCTACCTGACCCAACGTGGACCCGGTGCCCGTGGGAGCCAGGCCATCCTGCGAGCTGGGAGTTGCCTCCATGTCGAACTTCGACATTTCGAGCTAAGTCTTGAACTAGGCCTCCAGGTTAGAATAAGGGTACCAACTTTTTCTGTAGTCTATTTAGCAGGGGAACCCTCCCAAAAAAAAAGGAGAGAAGGGCACTACTGGTGGGGGACCTAGTGACGTGTATCGAACTTCGAGGTTTCGGCTTTAGGGCGCACCCTGCTTTTGCGTGACCCAGGGTCAAACATAGGTACCCAAAATGGACCCCTGGTAACTGGAAACAAGGACCAAACCCTGCCGTCAGGGCAGTTCAAAGCAACCGTTTTGGGAAGCCAAGTCGCACGCACTTCAGGTATGGGACAACTAGTGTAAGGCAAAGCGCAACAAGCCCCTACTATGACAGGTCTGACGGCCTCAACAAACGAATCAATCCTCAGTTGTCCCCCCCTAGGTGGGGTGCAATTATGCGGAAGCAGTCAGCCCTCTTAGTTCAAAAACCTAAGGGCTGAGTGTTGCGCTAGATTTTCACTGTGGCTCCTACCGATATTAAATTTATTAACAGAATGAGTCAATCTAGAAAATATAAAGACGTGGTAATGAACCAGTGGGTGTCATATCAGCCGCGTTCAAAACGGTATATATGTCAGTTTTGGGGAGTCCCTGTCATTTCACTAGTGCTTGGTATGTTGCAGGGGTAGAGAGCAAGAGTATGGTGTTTGTGAGTCCCCTATCGTTGTACGAGGTAGACTGCAACATATGCAACATATATAATAGTACCTTCATTGCGATTTATCTGGTTCAAGACAATCAAAAGCAACGGGCAAGCTACTTAGAGGATTTGCGCGCACGTGCTCGCAGTATAAAAGGGGTGGGCTTGGATGTTTGCATGCCATCACGTGGTTCTGACTTGCCATCTGTGCCTAAAGATCATCAATTAGCCGAACATGATTGCAACAAATCAGAAAACCAACAAATCAAACAGGTCCACTCGCTTTGACTAGTCCTGAGTGAGCTATTCCTAGCTCAAATAGCCCTCGGGCCCACAAACATGCATCCTGGAAGACCATTCGCCTTTACAATTGACCCCCTGGATTCGATTCCAGCATCCTGAAAGACCATTCTCCTTTCAAATTGCTTCTTCTGGTAGGTTCCATGATAGTGGACCTGGGGGTATTGTTTAGACAACCTTCCTTTTGCAAGATTTCCCGGTGGTAGGCCCCCCAACCCCGCGTGAGCCCGTCCTCTCGCTTGGCTTCCTCCACGAAAGCCTCCCTTTCGGGCAGCAGCGGATAGATCACAGACCTCGGACTGCAAGGCGCGACTGACGACCGAGCCAACAGCTGAGGGGGCACACCGCAAAGCCTGAGGCACGCATCTAAAACTGGTACCCTCCCACCAACTAACACGGAAGTGCAAAAAGGCCCTTTCCAAGAGGAAAGGCTCGTCTTTCTACAGGGGTCTGTGCACAAACCCTGTTGGCTGGTGGGAGGGTCTGGTTTTCAGACCCTCCAACTTTGGCAGGGATGCTCTGCTAGAAGGAGAGAGGCCTTCAATGGACGAAACCTGTAGAACTGGACCAGCGGTGCGCAACGACAAACAAGGGTTGTTCCAGGCTAGATGCAGCACACACTCACATCTTCTCCCACTCCTCCATGTACAAAGCTGACCCCTCTATGGGCCTATCACCGACAGCAGCCCACCTTTCCAACAAACAGAGGGGATTGGTGCATCTCAAGGCCCACTCCGCCATGTATATCAGAATGGATGCGCCCATTCTGACCCCACATCAAGTTGAGCTGCCAGATCTGCTGCAGCAGCACCAAAGCCAGCGGCAGGGCCAGCTCGTAAAAGCGCGGCATGAGCTACTCACAAGTTCCATGCATGTGCTGTATGCATGGCTCTGTCGTTGGCGATTCTGAGGTTCTTCAAACTCACGCGCTTGGCTGTCCTTTCTTTTTTGTCTCGCGTGAAGCACATGAAACTAGCAGGTGTTTTGTTGATGTGACTGGAACCGGTACCTGTGCATGGGTCGTGCACTGATGCTTGCTCCTTTTTCAACTTTCCAGTTGCCAAGTGCAAGCGAGGCAGGGTTGGTATCCCAATAAAGTGCAGATTTAGATGTCCTCCAGAACTAGCGACGGCAACGATGGCATCATGCCTTTCATGGCCAGCTGGGATACGCAGGCTTTGGGTTCGGTGGTTGGCAGTTCATCCTTTCAGCCATGGATTGTTGCTTGTGGAAAGTAAGCCTGTAGTCAGAGTCATAGTTTAATCTGGCTGCGCCCTCTCAAGCTAATTCGGCTGACAAATGTGCGGCAAGCGGCAAGCTGCAGTGACGAACAAAGTGAAAAAACCATATCTCTCTCTCCAGCCCTGTGCCCACATCTCGTCTGCATCCAGGTGCCACATCCGCGCAAAACCACCTGCTCCCACTCGCGCTTTGACAGCTTCGAAAGTTGCTAGTTCATGTAGAATTGCCAGCTGCCGCCGAAAAGCCCGCCTGCCCAAAAAGGTAGAAGCAGGCTGAGTGCATCGAGGAGTGCGCAGGGCTGTCCTCCTGGAAAAGGAAGTGCACAAGCTCAGTTCAAGTTGCTTTCCGTTGGTTTAGACAGGGCAACATGCGCCATTAGGCTTCTGGTTTGAGGGCCACAGCTGCAAGCCCACACATTGACAGCGCGGAATCAGCTCAGAGCTTTGAGCCACTCTGCCTCCAGTATTTCACTCGAGGACCGAAGCCCCTCCCAAGTTGAATCAACTTAGCTTCAGCCAGACCCAATACCCAAGTGGCTCGCATCAGATCGAAGCATTGTTTTGGCTGCAGCACAACAACTGACCAAAGAAATCGAAGCTTGACTTCCTCCCAAAGGCTAAGGCTAGCAGCTTCAAAACAGGCTGACTGCAAGCGCCGTCCTCGGCTTTTGCCTTTGCGGTCCTTCCAAGCGATTTCAGCAATGGTTCAGCCAAACAATGCAGCTACGTGGCAGGGCTCGCAAAAAGTCAGATAAACAAGAGCAAAAAAAAGGCAAACTTCAGATCCATACCCAGCCCTCCTGACCGTGACCGGGGACAATGCATGGGAAAACACAACGGATCCTCGATGGCTGTTTTCCGTCGCGACCCCACATGAATGAGGTTTAGGCTGGGACCTCACTTGTCTTCGAATGTGCGGTTCACAATGGCTGACTAGGTCCTCCAGTAGAGAGGTTAGAATAAGGGTAGCCGATTTTTTGTTCTGTGGTCTCTTTTAGTAGGCACAAAAGGGGACAGAAGGGCACCTAGCTGGGGGATCGAGTTGACTAGCGGCCGCGAAGCACACAAGGAGGAACAAAACTTGTGCTGGTGGGGGACATGAAGCAGCCTCCTTTAAAAGAAACTGAAGAAATTACAATCTCTTCAGATACAATGCGGTTCGCACATGGTTTATCTAAATGAGACGCAGATCTCACGTTAGCCGAGAGCCAGCCCAAGACGGCCATAGTAGCGTCCCACCGAATGTCTCAAGGCACACATAGTGACTATCCTTACCCCTTAAAACTCCAAGCCCTGGGGAAGATAATCTTTTACAGACATATAGCCCATGTTACCCAAAAAGTTCAAAAGTTGTGTTTTTAAGAGGTAAGTATCACATCAAAAATCGGCAAGGGCCATGATCCGCCTACGGCCCCCCCCCTGCTGCCCACTGCGTCGCACTGATCTCTGGACCCGGTCCCCGCTGACGGCAGGCAAATGGCCCTCGAGGCCTCAGCTCCACCACAGGGGGCCTGGGGCCCTGTCACAAGCCTCCAGCTTGATCCGCTCCAGAAATGCTGTGCAGCTCCCGTTCAACGAATGCTTGACCCAAGTTCGATGTGGCTATATGAACCCCAGGGCAGAGAAGGCGTAAGCACAACCTACGACTGAACATGTTGCGAAACTCCAATGTCCAAGGGGGGCGACTTCGCGCAAGCAACACATGGTGGCATTTCGCCATTTAGGCGTGAACAAAGCGGCTGCTGCACAATACGCGGTGAATGACGAACTGGTATCCCTTGTCGGCTGCTCTCCATCTGCGCATCCAGTGCCGAAAGATAAACTGGAAAAAATGGTCAAGGCACCCAAGGCACCCTTGCAAGATTGGAGCAACCCCGCAATATGCGGCAGAACTATGTTCATCACCCGTGGATGCATTCGCCAGACTGGCTCAAGTGTGGGGACTTCGCCTGGCTAAAGCAATTTTGTAGGGGCAGCAAAACTGTAACTGGGCGCGCCGCAGCGCAGCTCTGCTTTCGGTGCGTAAGGATGTTATTTGCATGGGAAGTGATTCATGGAATTCCCCGCTTCGACAATATACTTGGATTGGCTGCAGCGCGCTGGCGCTGCCCTCTAGCGGTCAGAATCGTCCCTGCGGAGCCCATCCAAAGGTTATCCGCATGATGCGGTGAGCTATCAACAACCAGGTCCTCCTGTAGAGAGGTAGCGTAATACGGGTACCCTTTTTTCTGTAGTGTATTTTAGTAGGGGAACCCTCCCCCAAAAAAATGTAAAGGGGCACTACTGGAGGACCTAAACAAGGATCTGCCAAGGGGCGCATGCCTCTTTCTCCTCCTCCGGCTCGCTGTAGTCGCCCATTGTCTCCTCCGTGGAGATTGAACAGGTTTCTTCGTATTCTGCAACTCCATAGCATTTTAATCGTTCCTGCCGCCATCATGGAAAGCAAAGAGTGAACACGCCATGTCACAAACGTTAACCAGGGCCCGGCGTGCAATGCAAGTTCGGAATTGTTTCTGTGGCACTCGTCGCCTTTGCCACTCAGCGAGCAAAACAAACTCGTGAAGGCACCTTCTTCCACGCCCAAAGTCGGGCGGAATTCATGAGCCGTGGGGAAAAATACAACTCAGCCAGACAGCCGCAAGTCAAATGGCGATCATCCGGCACATGTGGCACACGCACGCCCCGCCTCGAAGAAAGAATCACGACGCTTTTGCAAGCATCGAGCAAGGGCCAATTTACTCTCGTAAAGGTACTCAAGGGTCAAATGCGCAGCAAGACTCCAGCAGCAAACTGGGCTTCCCCTTCGCACTTCCCGAGCGGATGGTCCAAAGTGGTCTTCCCAAAAACCCTGGGGTTCAAACCACCATTAAAACAACGGGGGTTCATATAACCACCATTGACCACCATTGTTTTCCTAAGGTTGTGGGGGTTGAACCCTAGGGAAAAATTGGTCCATGAACTCAGGAAGTGAGGCTTTCTGTTTCCAAGGCCTCCGAGCAAACAACCGAAACACGTGGTCCATGGCTTTCTCCTCGTCTGACAGCCGCAGCGTGGCAGGTCTGGAGTTGGCCCTAGAGAGATTCGCCTAGGGCTTGAGCTTTGCCCAAGGGGGGCACCCACTTACAGGGGCATACGTCAGGTAACTGGGCAAGAGCCATGGTTAATGTTGACCCCGGATGAATAAACCCCTGTTTATTAATATGGTGGAGTCCCTGGTTTTAGTGGGGATCATCACTGTTGGAGGGGAACACCCCCACAATTTTAAACAACGGGGGTCAGCATTATAATCCACTTACCTTGGTTGCTGGAAGGACCCCTCTGCACAAAGTGAATATCACTTTGTTGTGGGTTTTCAACAGGTTGCCTTTGGGCAAGTTACTAAGGGCTTCCAGGGAAAATGGGGGTGAAGTGGTGCATACAACTACTAGAGGGTATAAAATGGTAACGGGCCAAACAACTAACCACCCCGTCGTGGTCCTGTGGTGCGTGTCCTGTGGGGTTGTAGTTTAGTGTTGGTTTTGTTTTGGCTTTGGTTGTGTAGTGTTGATGTCGGGTTGGTTCAGGTTGGTTTGGGGTAGGTGGCCGGTTGCCCTCAGAAGCTCAGGCGGGCCTTGGCCTTTTGCTCCGCAAGTCCCTGGAGTGCAGTGGTTTGGGGGCCGGCAGGTTTCTCTGCCCGAAGTGGAGGTAAAGCGATTCGACGGGTTTCTGGACTTAGACATCCAATCGCAGGTATGCAAATCGCAGGTGGGCAATCCTGGATAGGCCCACTTGCCCAGCGGACCTAGAAATCAAAGGTTCCCTTTTGGGGCTATGACCAAAAGTGGGACCAATAAGGCAGAACCAACAGGTTCTTTAAGGCCGATTCGCTTTGGACAAGTGAGTAAACCTCGCCCTCGCATCTGGCATGGCTGACATGATCTCCGGCGCAATTCTTCCATTCGCACAGGCAACATTTTCTGAGGTGCCCACCAGGGAAGGCAAGTGGTGTGGGAACGTGTCACCCACCTCGGTTCCGCGGATGCCGCCAAGTTTTGGTGGAAGCAGAAGCTGAAGGTCCACTGCTAACTACAATCCGAAACTTGACTTCACCCTGATTGGAAACTATGCGTTTGCATGAACTGGTGTTGTATTGAATCAAAACACAAACAGGATGCGCCCAAGGATGCCTCCAACACAGGCAAGCCCAGCAGTGTCGAACGAGCCTTGACAGCCTTTCAACAAGTGGCAATATGCCCGAAGTTGACACATCTGCGCAACTGAGACTTGTCACCAACCTGGAATCAAGGCATCCCCAAAATAAGGGAGGGCACCTTCACTCAAATGCCTAGAGGCCATGGGAAAAAGGGCCCTTTTGCTTGGTTCAGTTTAAAGGGGAACCCTTCCCCCCAAAAAAAAGAACAAAGGGGGCAAGTGGGTTCATTGAGCTGAAGTGTCCCTGAGCTCGCCGTGCCGTCAGCCGAGAATGACCCGCCGGTGATTCCCATTGGCTGCTGGGGCCCTCAGGCACCCACTCGAGCACGGAACTGGGAGGAGGTAAGGACGTTCTGCAGCTGCATCTGGGCGATCAAAGGAGGGGTCCGAACGTCCCCTCCCAACAGATCTCTCTCTCTCTCCAGCATCGTCGAGCAGGTCTCGCTCGTCCCAGATCAGGGATGCGAAAAACAGGCACTAACACGGAAGCTCCCAACAGATCGCCGGCCAGATTTTTGGCTCACACCGCCGGCGGGGAAAGAGGCCACAGCCCTATGCAGAAGGAAATGCGCTGGAATGCTGCTTCTGCGCGCAAAAAACAGTTTTGCATTGAGCCTCTCCACCAAACGTGCCAGCAAACTCAGGTTCGGCTCTTTCAACAGGCAAACTTCTCGGAGCATTGCAAACATCATGCGACATGATAGTAAAAAGCACACCTCGTCTGATTGTGCCTGCTCTTGTTCCGACCGTGCTTCCGGGACGGGCATTAAAACAAAGTTTCTTGCAAAACTCGTTGAAACGTTTCAGCTCAAATCGGGAATCCTGAAATCGTGTAATTAACTGAGCCAGTGGTCAGGCAAATTGCAACGAATCCCCCATCTCACGTGCCGCTTGATTCATTGTTGCATTGTTCAACCAGTACTCCGCACCACATATGTCAAACCCTCTCGGGATTTTCCTTACTCGCAAGTGGTCCTGCAACTGCTTGTTGCCACAACTGTCTTGATCCAAAAGGTGCATCGCGCTACAGCTGCCCCGCTTTTCAATCAACGGCAGACATCACACTTCGAGGGCGCCCCACGAACGTGCGCACACAGCACACACACACATGCTGGTTGAAACCTCACTCACACCAAAACAAAATTGGGAGCTCATTTTGTGTTGATGTTGTTTTTGCCAGGTGACCGTTAAACACAGCTTTCGGCGGAGCCAACTTGTGCTAAACCGGGAAAAAGGAATGCCGCATGCCGGGGTTCTCAGCCCCCCGATAAACAATTGCCAAAGGGAGACATTTGGAGCCTATCAACGCTTCTACCCTTGACACGAACCCTGGAATGCCGACAGTTTCAAAGCAGGTCCAGAGTATGTCGTGGTTTCACATTTGGGTTTGTCTTAAAATCGGAGGACCCCTAAATAGTGGTGTTCCTCTTAGTTTTCTTTTTAAACCCTTCCACTAACATAGCACCTGTGGGAGGGTACCTGGAAGATCATTTTCCTATTGTAGGGACCCCCCATGTTCGTGGGAGTGAGGATACCCCCTGGACAAAGGCAGACCCATTTTGGGTTGGGATCTACCCGAGCCCGGGCTGGCGGGGCTCCCGGCACAGGCGTCACCCAGGCCCTCCACCACGTGGGGCAAGCGCTCCGGGGAGCTGCGAGCCTTCAACTCCTGCGGACACTTTGGCTCGGAAGTGAATTCCTATGGGAGCCCGGGGCTTCAGCCAGGCCACCACTAAAATAATGAAAGTCCCTTAAGGAAAATAAGAATCTCTCTCTCTCGCTCTCTCTCTGTTGCGTCTTGACTCAGCAAGGCAACGGAAAAGGTGCTTTTGAAAGAATGGGGATCCCTTTAAAAGGACAGTGGCAGGACCCCCCTGTCAGGTTCCACGTTCATTGGTGGAAGGGCTTTGGCTCTGGAAGTGTCAGAAGTGTTTTTCTTGCTGGCTTCAACCGGTGGCTTCCTGTAAGACCAAAGCCTGGGTTCATTCCATTCCTCATTCCCGAACGATTTCGCACCAAGGAATTCCCGGAGTGGGAGGTGAAGGGAACCCTAAACTCAAAAGTATTACCCTCAAAAGACTTTTCACATGGAACCTGGCAGGAGGGTCCCGATTTAAACCATGGTCCTTTTCTGGGACGACTTTTTGTCAGGTTCCATGTGAATTGGTGGGAGGGTATCTTGTGAGCTGGTCGTGTATTACTTTTGAGTTCACTCCGTTTCATGTTCTACCGCGTCCCTAACCAGAACTCCAATCGGTAGCTCCCCCTTAGCTCCAGCTTTAGAAGCAAAATTGAATACCCCCAGCCGAAACGGCTCCCTTCCAACCACCAGCTAGTGTTGACCTGGACTGTTTCAGGGAGGTAGGTCGTTTATCCGTTCCCGATAGTTTATTTTGAGGCTTTTGCTGTTTTCACCGTAACGATCCAACTGAAAGATTCGCAACCATTCATGCAGTGTGAACTCAGGTGCCCGATCAATCCCCAGAAGGGCCACTGTGAAGCTGTTTGAGTTTGTTCCCGAGGCAAGGAAGCATGCCATGCATGTTCTTGAAGTGGTCCTTTTGCAACCCCGACTTCCTTTTGCACATATAAATCGTCCATGTCCGAAACGGGCCTCGAGGCTCTGCATCAGGGCCACCAAATGGCCTCATTCCCATCCCAGCGCTGCAAGCATCGCGGGCTTGTAACTTGTTGCTGGCTCTCAGTCAATATGCGGTGCAGCAACCAAGTTAGGGACTGGTTGCAACCAGCCTGTGCAACCACCCTGCAACCCCGCCCTGTAGCAACCCCTATGCAGCAACCAAGCTACTTGATTGACGTTGGAAGGGGAGCAACACGTTTTATCATTTTGTTTGAACAGCTCTCTCAATGACCAACAACAAAAGTCAACCATGGTTAGTCAACAAGAACCATGTTTCCCAACAACCATGTAAAATGTAAAATGTAACCATGGTCGAATTAATTTGGTTAGACAACATGGTTTAACTTCAAACGAAAAATGTTTCCCAACACCAACTTGTGGTTAGCCAACTGCCAAGTCTGAGGCCGCGATCCCGGCCCAGGCGATCGATTTGCCTACCTCCATTTGCGATCAGGCTCCCTGGGAAAAAAATAATACGTCCAGTAGCGATAGGTTCCCTTTAAAGCCAACAGGGCCATTTTTTATATATACATATATATATATACATAAAAGAAAACAATCTGAAGGAAATGGAAGTCAACTGCCGTGCGAGGACATTGTCACAGCTAAGGCCTGCGCAATCTGGGCCCACCTAGCGGATGGAGTCGACCAAAGGCCCATGGCCCAATGGCCCGCCCGTCACGGCATCCCTGCCTCCCAATGTGCAAAGCTTAGCCCTGGGGTGCAGTTGCCACCACTAAGACAATGGGTCGTATAACCACCCTTGCTTGGATTGACATCATTCACATTTGGGTCAACCATCTTTTTGATGGGGGCTGAACCCTAGGGTTAGGCCATCAAAGTTACAGAAACAAAACGCAACTCGTGAACCCTTTCACGAAGCCGTTTTCAGAACTTGTCAGATGCCTTAACCAAGTTCGGCATCAATTTTTTGCTGGACAAAGGTAGCCAAACCGGGGCTGGCCAACGCGCAAACAGCTAAAGCCGTTGTCTTCACGCGAATTGCGGACAAAATCTGAAACCACGACGTGTGTCGAGCTACAACAACCAACTTTGTTAAAGATACTTGTGCTATGACCTTGTAGGTCAACACCACTGGTGCATATGGCAAATTCAAATCAGAGTGCTTGTCAAGAAGAACATCGTTACTATTAATGACAATATGCTTTCTGTCCAAAGGTTGGACGCATCTTGCCCATAGGTTTTCTTTCTTGGAAAATAGATGGCCCTGGTAGATGATTGAACCACCAGGTAAACCACCGCCCTCCATTTTTTCACCAAGTCACCCAAGGACGCCTATTGCCTCATAGACCCCCCTTCCCCTAGCCAAACCCAACGTGCTGGCTGCATCCCGGGCACAAGGGCACGCTCCATGGCGGCATGGGCACGAGCCGACATTCCTGGGATACACCCGTGCCGGGTTTTCGTCACGGAATCCGTGCCCGGTTGGAACCGGGTGCACTGAATTTCCCCTGGAAACGTTGCAGTTGACAGGCGGTTGGTGAAAAACGATGGCCACTTTTGGAGGTGCCCCCAAAAAAACCCTGGGGTTCAACCCACATGAAAAGAATGGCCCACGGGGACCCAATTCGGATGATGACAATCCTGAAACGATGGTGGTGAAATGTGAACCCAACGATTGTTTTAATGGTGGCAACTGAACCCCCAGAGTAAGGGGACATGCCTCGCAACCCCAGTGGACTCCATGCTCTTCCTTGAAGGCTGAAGCTTCGAAGCTGAACGAGCTGGCACGAGCTGACTGCCCTACGTGGTGTGTTTTGGGAACACCCACATTTGTTGCTTCGTTTCCTCTTTTTTAACATATGCTCATATATATATATATATGTATGATGTGTTTCACGTGTTTGTGTTTGCTTTGTTGTTATTTATTGATTTATTTATTTTGGGGGGGGCGGGGTTCCCCTAAAAGACAGGACACGCCAATGTGGTTTCTCCCCATGCACGGCTTCCCCTTGCTGCCGAGGTGCGCTCTGTGGGCAAGGGCTTCTTGAGTGCCCTGCCGCGGGCCTTGGCGATGATCAGCTCGGAGTCCACCGACTTGTTGAGACCTCGCCATGCTGAGGACACGGAAGCGAGGGGCATCAAATGTCGAAGACGGGCCAGGGGGCATGTGGGCGCCAGCCACACGGCCCCGCGCACACGGGCAGACGCCCACATGGACACACGGACACGCATCAACCACAGCGGCGCAAAGGAACATCGCGCACAACACGGGAAAACGGGCACATAAGAATGCGGGCACAACACGGGCACAAGCACACGGACACACACTACACAGGCACAAAGCACGCACCTGCTAGGGTCAACACGGTTTAGGGTTTAGGCTATGGCGTTTTCAACGCCTTAGGGTGCAGGGTTTGGTGTGGGCTTTGCGGTTTAAGGTGGTGGTTCCGGTCTGCAGGAGTTTAATTTCACCGTTTCAAAAAGAATCGCGGGACCGCCCCCGCCCCCACCACCACCACCCCCCCCCCAAAAAAAAAAGAGAAAGAAGCAAACAAACAAACTGCACGTTTTTGCAAGTTTCATGTTGGTTTCGCTTTACACAAACCCGAGAGCTGTCCTGATGCACGCACATGAACAAATGAGCATGTTGATGATATGAGCATTTATCCGTTCAACTTCATTTGAACAGGGAAAATATCTTTCCGGGGAACGTGTGTTTGTGGATTGTTTCTGTTACTGGCCCTGGGCCTTTTGTACTATTGTAGTACTCATATCCAAAAGCCGCATCCAACGAGTACGGGCCTCCCTTCATACTCACCCCGAACAAGGTATCCTCTTTTAAAAAAAAGAGCCGGTGAGAACATGTCGTTTTGCGACCAGGGGCACGACAGCAGGGAAACAAGAGGTAACTGACCCTCTAGCTTTGCGGGATGTTACTGGCATGCAATGTCAAAGATTGCCATACATGTGCCATGTGAATGGCCCACCTGTGAAGGCCTCCTGCTGTTGAGCCATCGGACCAAGCAACAATGAATGAAGCATTTGATCGAAGCAATGGTTCTGTGAATCCAGCGCTCTTCGGAGCAGTCACTGAAATTTGACAGGGGCTGTGGCCCCAAACCTCTGCACATGATCCCTGTGAGCCTTTCCAATGCCCACTGGGAACCCTTGTCAAGGCTGATTCCATTGGGTCGACCCCAACAATTTTGAGAAGGTGGGCGGTGGGGACGATCCGAATAAGCTTGTGGTAACCTTTAGCCAAATGGAACCCAGAGAAAACGGGCGAGACTTCGATGGAACCCACGAGACTTCGACGGCATCCGCACCTTTGAGGCAGGTCTGCAGCCGCTGCACCTTCTCAATCACCGAGTCCAAACCTTCGCTGGGCCACTGGCCAGGTGATGTGGGGCATGTTGAACAGGTGATGCTTAAATGGCTCAAGTCTCCGATGATAGGTCTGCACTAGGTGACCCTTGCCGTGCAGAAATGCAAGGACTTGACATGAACTGCTTGTTTGCCAGAATGCCCCAGCTGCAACAGTGCAAACTGATTTCGACAAAAGCTAGAAGCAGCAGCTTGGACGGGCAGAACGTGGTCAAGCTGAATGAAGCTTGCAGGATAATATGTACTGATCCATGTAATTACCGTGGTATAAGTTATATATATATATATATATATATTTATTTATTTATGCAATTGTCGTGCATGCATTGCCTACTTCTTCGTGGCCGCCCCGTAGCCTTGCCATGTACACCCCATTGCTGAAAAAACGGGCCGTGACGACATTGCCCAGCGCGAAAAAAGGCGAGCCAAGTGGCAAGGATGCAGCCAAGAAGACACCCGAATCATGCCATAGTCGCCCAGGCTGTCGCTGATGCGGTGGAAGTGCGATAAAACCTGTGCCAACCGCGCATGCTACCCAAACTAGGGCTGACAAAAATCCTCTCCTGGGGATACCGAGTGGGTGCCAAGCCGGGCTGACCTCCGCGAGCAATTACATGCGTGCCATGAAATGCACCAAAGCCCAAAGAGTGTCATCGCATGCATTCCACTGTGGGTCAATATTTCAGACTTGTTTTGGTTCGCTTTGCACCGGCAAAAACCAGAAAACGGTGGGAAAATTCGATGTGGAATCAGACCTCCCCCCGATTTCATGAGTCGTCCACCCGAGCTCAGCTGATTCTAAGTCACCCCGATCCTCGCCCTGGAGGTAGAGGAGGTCAAAGAGCGCCTCGACGGCCAAGAGCATCTGCTCCCGACTCTCCTGGCGCGGATCGCTTTTTCTTCCTCCCCGGGCGCTGAGAAGAACTTTGGGGAAAGCACGGGGATCCCAAGAAAGACATAGGGGACGGGTAGTAGGGGTCACTTGGCCGCTTGCAGGTGGCATTGCGTGATTCGGGTGAAGAGTTGGTAGGCCATTGGGTTGGGCTTGTCTTGTTTGTACCCCCTGTTTGGTTGGTTTTAAGGGAGGATCAGAAGGAACAAACTCATTTTAAGGCGTCCCCTTAAAAAAAAAAGACGCCCAATTTGACAATGACGTGCTGGTCTGCGCGGCATGTGCGGGAGAGACATCCCAAAAGTCAAGCCTGGATTGTTCTTCCGCGTCTTCAGAAGCCTTTCTCCGGAGTGGGCCAATTTCGGCAAATTTGATCTGACGAAATAAACGAAGCAACTTCCTCCTGAGTCCCCTTAACCAATTTGCCCTCCTGAAGCAACTATTGACTGATTATTGTTTTGGGCGATTCGTTTCTTCCAGCCGCCGCCCGTGAAGCTAGTCGAAGGGGAGGCGCTGAGAATCTCTGGGTTCTCCGTGACACGCGCGAAACGAGCAATAAAAGTTTGAAATACGCGTGGACCACTGCAACCTGCCTGGAAAGCCGTATGGCCATGACTTTTTGGACGGAACCCGTATTTGGATCGTTTTTGCCGTACTGGCCTTTTTGTATGTCCGGTGGCCGTAATTGGCCGTGTACAGCCTGACTTTGTTCAACGACATGTTGACAAAAAGCCGTAAATAACCAAGTGTATGGATGGAACAATCGGCACATATGGGTTTCCAGGTGGTCACAGTTGTCATGACTGCCTTTCATCCCTCCGGCAACCAAAAAAAGAAGAAAAAAAGGAAAACCTGGCCAGCAAATTCCTAAAGGCAACACTCAAACGTAAAAGCCACAGAATTACAGTATGACATGGGCTACTTTGGCCATTTCGCCCCTCATCCGCCCCACAGGTCTGGGTCCTCAGATCCCCCGCTAAAAGTGACTCACTCACTTTTAGTGGGTGAAATTCGGGGAAACTGCAACCCCCCCCCAAAAAAAAAAAGTCGAAGTTCAACTTGTGAGCGCTGGTTGAACCATCCCAGTTGCCATTCTAGGTTCCCAACCATTGTTCATTTTGGCTTTAAAAACAAAATGCGGATTTTACAGGTTGATTCCCGTGCTTTCCTACTATAAGTCTACCTGGAATCACGGGGATCCCCCCCACACCCCCGTCGCACGCAGCCCCCGCCCGTAGCCCGCGACGCGGCGAAGCCAACGGCGCCGGCGCCTGCTGCAAAGGCTCTCGGAAGGGTCCGGCCAGACCGCTGCTCTTCAGGCGACCCGCCTCGAACTCCTGTCACCGAAGCTCAGTGCGCGTCCGAGTTGCCCGCTTTTCTACGTGCGACCAACCCCCTTTTAAAGGGGTGGCGCCTTAAAGGGCGAGTTCATTGGTTAAAGGGCTAAGTCACACGTTTTTGGGAGCGGGTCATTCCCGGTTTTTTGGTGGCTTGAAAGGGAAGCCTAAAGGAAATCCACCAGGAGGGGGTCCAACATAAAAAAAAACAGAACATGCACATTTTGCCACCCACACCCTCCAACAATGGATGCCTCGAATATGGCAAGTAAACCAACCACGAACCATGGTTGAGTTTACAGGGTTTCAGTTGTTCCCTACTTGCAATAATGAGTTGGGCATCAACCCTGCCTTGACAGTCTTGCGTAGGTTAGACCCAATCAGCAAATTTGTCTGCCCTTGAAACTATTTGGGACTAAGCTGCCTCCCTTTTCACTATCAGACTACGCTCCTGAACAGGAACTGCACAAAACATAACGCCTGTACAAAAAAGAACTGTCCTCTGATGCCCTGCTAAAGGTTTAACTGTTATTGGCTTAAATGGAAGCCCCCACAACCCCCACTAAACCCCGAAAAGCTAAAAACTGAAGGGGATGGCTGGGAGCCACCAAGAACATGGTCGCAACCAAGCTTGCCTCAAGCACATGTCCGTCCTCCCGAACACGCTTGATCAGCGCCATGGCGTTCTCCGCTGGCTTGTCTGCGGCCAAGCTGGCTGGAGAACCTGGACGGTGGACCATTCTAGAATCCCTGGATCAAGGGCCTGGCATTCTCCTTGTACTTTGTGGTGCTTAATTCGGGCATTGTACTAAGTAAGTGGGTAATGATCCTGGTTCGACCAGGAGCCATGGTCGTACGTCTCCGTTCAGTGGGCTATAACCAGGCTTACTCACCACTTACCAAGTACCCGATCGCCCTTTAAGTACACATGCAACACAACTGGCAATTCCCCTCACGGAGTATTGCCCAAGACGCGAAACTCTTACCAAACAGCAGTGCTCAGAACCCTCTCTGCATGGCTTCTGCCACAAACAATGCCATGCCTCACAGAATTCAAGGAAAAACGGCGGCCAAAAAGCAATAAATACGCACATGTTACAGGTATGCGCCCAGGTGCTTGAACGAGTTTGGAGCAACACATTTCCTTCAGTTCCTTCACGTTGACATTGCATCCTGCAACACGTTCATCAACCTGTCACGGCCTTGGGTCGCTTCCTGAGGCGCCCTGGGTGTGTCTTACAAACGGGGACCCCAAAACTGGCAGTTTTTCCCTTGGCTTCTCTTTAAACCAACCTCAAAAAGGGTACTGCCAAAACAAGACACGCCCAAATGGGCCCCTTGGGCTCACAAAAGAGCTAACCCAAAAGTCTCCCACTGACTTCCCCATCCGCCTGGTGCGTCCGTGAGCGTCTTCAGCTCCTGAATGTCCATGGATCGAGCCACAAGTTTCACAGTTTCACCAACCTCATTGCCCGGTCAATACAAACACTCACTTCCGATCCAGTGGATTGGCGACCCATATCATTTGTCTCATTGCTGTCAGTAGGGAAGGGAATGAACCCAGCGATGCCCCAAAGGAAACCACCAGCTGGATGGTTTACAAGGGTCATTCCATTTCTCATTCCCTGCCTATCGCACCGATCGCAAGTAACTTCATTGCCCAACACAAACACTCACTTCCGATTGGGTGGATTGGCCAAACAAACTTCCTGTCTACGCATCAAGCACCGCGATTCTGTTGGCGTGCTGAGTCGCAAGCTCAACCACCCGGCAAACAGATCGGTCGGTCGGCAGGTCAAAACCAATGGTACCATTTTGCACCACCCAGTTTAGTCTATTCTAGTGGGGATTGGGATGTTCACTGGGGGTACGGGATTTTGACCCATGGCCATTTGTCTCCATTTGCTTCGTTCGTCCCCCGGAACAAATAAAAGACAACAACAGTAGTGATAGATTCCCTTCGAAACCAACAGAGGAAATCACACATATTCTTGAACAAATGTGATTTGTCCGCAAAAACGAAAGCAACTTGGCTATCCCACTGGCGTTGCATTCCGTGCGAGCGCGCCTCCTCAGTGCCAACCCCCGCAAAGAGGTGGAAGGTCCAGCGGAGGCTAAGCAGCGCAGTGATCAAGGAGCCCACCAGCGTCTGCCAGGCATCCTGGCGAGGGGTCTGAAAAATTGGCTGGTGCGATAGGTAGAACCTGACCGAGTCCTGGTCTTCGGAATGAAGTGTTTTCGGAATTTTCCGAATAGAGGAAGCCATAGGGGATGGTTTATAGAGGCCATTTTGCAACTCTTTCCCTGCTGAGAACCAGCAAGTAATGATGGGGGTTCACAATCTGAAGCCGTGATCCATAGTGAAAGTCAATCCGCAAGCAAATGTCGGCATGAGGGAAGCCTCTGGCAGGGTTGAGGATGGATTTTCAACACAGGCAAGGCCTCGGGCAAGGGCCCGGATCTAGGTGTCCGGTTGTCGCAGCACCAAAAAGGCTGCGTGTTGGGGTGGGTGTTTATGGTTTTATGTGAGTTCTGACTGTGGGTTAGGGCTAGCCTCTGGCTCGAAAGAAATGGCACGCAGCACGCCTTTGGAAATGTAAAAAGGAAAGATCACTCCCGGTGCTGTAGAGGCGGCAAAACCTGCGTGTTGCACACATTGTTTGCACAAATCAAAGCAACGTTGAGTTCAATGATGTGACTGAAGACAATGTTTATGTGTGCAATGTTATCAAACTTATACATTTAGCTGGTTTATGTGTATATACTGTATTTACAACGCCTGTATGGTGCCAGCACGAACCTTGGGAGTCTGGTGCCCGAAAAGGGTGCCTCTTTACTTCTCTGTACCTTTAAGCAGCAATGTTCAAAGCTGGAAGTTCTGGAACCACAATGTGGGTGTGTCTTCCTTTGGGGTGGCCCAAAAATTGTTTATTTTATAGCAACATATGAGGTCATCTAAGCTTTACTTTCACTTTTGGTGGTGGGCATAAAGGGAAACCCGAAAGGACACCATTTAGGGTTTGCCCCATTTTATGACACAATCATATATGTCGATAGGCATGCAATCTCTACTGTGCGAACCAGAAGTGCCACCATCCCCTGATCCTGCATCGTCTTCTGCAGTTGTGGGTCAGCCCGGCTGGGCAATGGGTTTCCACCTGAGTGGAAGCACGGCCAGCGCTTCAACGGGTGTGTGGGGACGAATGGGCACCGGGTGAATGAAGGGATGTTTTCGGTCAACGAGCCGCTGTCCCAATAATTGCAGAAGTTGTGACAGCCTGCCTACTGCAAGCAACCCCAGTTTAGTAATATACGGGGAATCCGCTCCAAAAGTCATGCTTCGCCACTAAACCCAGGCGAACTCCCCTATTGATCACCTGGGATTGTTTTTTTTTCGGGGAATCTGGGGTCCGCATTTGGCACTTCCAAGCCGCCTCCACTCGTCCCAACGCCGGCTCGAGGAATTGAGGCCCTGACGCGCTGGCAGGGATTGCCAAAGCCTCGGCCAAGTGAGATGGATCCACTTAGGTGGCCAGGCGGTATCGAACGGGCGCGACGGTTTGCGGGGCAACCTTGGGCAAAATGCGGCAACTTTGATGCAGCGAGCTTCACTTGGCACAAAGATGTTTCACTCCTACGCTACCATTGATGTGGCATGTTGCGGCCAGCTCTGCATGTGCGACGCAAGATGGTGCAACCTGCATCAGCGTGCGTTACATTACCTTTGACGCAGTTTGTTTGATACTGTTACCCCTGCCCAGTTGTGACAATGCCAAGCGCAATTGGAATACGCGCGAAGGGGCACTTGGCACTGGGCACCATGGGTAGCAGCAGGCGGCTGCGGCGGAGATCAGCGTTCTTGTCTAAGGGCAAATCTGCAAATCGTGCACGGAGCTCAAATACTCGTGTTTGCAAGTATTGTGCACTCGGGGGGAGCTTTTCACATCATAATATGCAGGTATCTAAATTCAGAGAGATGAGTGCTGCTTGTAAAAACAATCGACTGTGCACACTTTTGGCCGAACAAGTCGCTGTCAGCATTCAGTTGATTTTCGCCACCTTGCCAGCCCGCGGTTCGCGTGCCACAGAAAAACAGTTATTGCGCACAATTCTCGCAATTGTGCGCCAATTGTCCACGTGCGAGCGCCAAATATTCTGAGGCGGAAGATGTCTCCAAGCGCCCGAATTTTGGAATAAGACACCAATCTTGAGCCAGGTGCCGCCGATTGAAGCTGCGCCGCTCCCTTACCCAGGAAGCGGTGCTGGGTTTTCTTCTGGGGTAATTATTTTGTCAAAGTCAGAAATTGGGGTTGTTTCTCTTTAACCTACCACTTAGGGGGTGACTTTAACTAATGGTAAAATAATCGGCTAATGGGCCCAGTTCTTGCAATCTCACATTCGAGGCTTCTTTCCCTCCATAGAGCTAGGCCCGACAACGCCAAGCCGACAGCCAGACTGCGCGCTGGATCCTGCTGTCATGGCGAGTTCTGGCCGAGGCGACGAATGTATCCTTGTCCTTATCGTTTTGGAACAGCTTGACAGGCTGATGTCGAAAAACTACACCCATAACTTTACCAAGCCAGCGGATTGTGTTGAGACATCATCGTGGGTCAACACCAGGGCGTGTTGAAGAAGCTATCTTTCTTGCAAGGTGTTAAGAGAACCACCATTTGAAATCGTTCAAATTGCGTCCGGGTAGCACGACGACTTCCAGGGATGGCAGGCTGTCCGTCTGTGTGAGATGCGTGGCGCCCAAAAGAAGAAAGGCGATCGCATCCGACACGAGATTCCGACCTCAGGGCAAGGGCAGCTTGCGATCGGCGTCGGGAATGAAAGCTTTGTTCGTGCCAGTGACGTACAGAGCGTGGCACTTGCTTTGGGGTGCTTTTTGTGAAAAAGGGATGGAGGAAGGCGTACCAACACCATGGGCTAGATTGCGCAGTTTCAATGGGTGCCAATGGGCCCAGAATAAAGAACAAGTTCTGAACATGCCCCTCTGGCCAACGCTTCATGAGTCGGAGGAGCTCGTAGTAACTATGATCTGCGAGCCAGGATGTCAGCTATGCATGTCTCCGCGCACAGGGCAGCTGGCTGCTCTTTTTGGGCTTTGCCTGATTGTTGGGGTGCCGTAAACCCAGACGCGCGAACCTGTGAAGGAATACCCGCTCAGCCCGCGACTAAGCGAGAGGCAACGTGCAGCCAGCTCGGCCTCAGCATCTGGCCGGCAATGATTGGTGCCTCTCTGGAAAACTAGGTCCTTCAGTAGAGGTTAGACTAAGGGGACCCTTTTTCCTTTTGTCTATTTTAGTAGGGGAACCCTCCCCAAAAAAAGGGTAAAAGGGCACTACCGGGGGAACATGAAAAGTAGCCTAGTGAAGTTGCGAGTTCGACAGAAAGCAATGAGAGCAACCAAGTGCAACCCCTCAATCAAATGGGGCCTGACCTTTGCGCCTACAAAAGCAGTGTCGCCTATATAGACAAATGACCCTAAATTTTAACATGGGCTGCAGGTATTGGAATCTTTTAGTCACTATAGTCACTGGCACAGACAGCTCAATGTGAATGTACCTCAATCCCCCCCCCCCGCTTTGGAAAGCTGGCTCGGTGGTCATCAACTTTGCGTGGGGGAACTTGTCATGGCCCCCTCTCTCCCGAACCGGTGCTCTCCAAACACTTCTCAACTTGCTGTGAGCTCGATGGACAATTTCCTTGTTTTCACAAAAAGTAAGTCTGAGAGATCCAACGCATATATATATATATGGACTTTGCCTGGCCTGTGCCTGGGCCATCGCTCCAGCAACAAATTTGGCAGACATCAAGGCCCAGCGTGTTAAACATTCCCCCTTTTTCTCTAGTCTTCCCTATTAAAGGGAAAATGGCTCACCACGAACGAAGATCTCCCATCGCAATCGTCCCTTTCAGGTGGGGATGGTTGAAACGACACTTCCATCGAGCTTTGGGGATGCGCCGTGCGCCCTCGGCGGTCACGCCGATACCAAAAGGAAGGATCGAAAGGTGCGTTCGAGACGCGCAGGTGCGGTCCCTCTCCAAGACTTGCCGCAACTGCAGCTCCAAGTGCTCATAGACTTCGCCTCGCTTCCGCTTCTTTGCTGGCAGGAAAGGGGCACGCCAAACCAAACTTAGGGCGCCCCTGTTCTATCCTTTCTTTTTCTCGTCCCAACAAGTTGCCAACAAGGACTCAGTATCCCAACACGTCACACAAACAAGCTACCTGCCGCTCAGTACATTTCAACATGGACAACTCGAATCACAATGTGTGGGCTTGAAAGGGCCAGACGCTGTGCGTTCGGCCATGGAGCGACTGAGCGCGACGCATCACGACGCAGGCAAGAACGCAGTTTAAAAACTGAAACTTGAAGTAATCCACGCGCACAACATGGGCAACCACGCTGCACAGCGTGGCTGAACAACTTTGCCGGCATAGTAACAGAATCATGTGCACAGATCCGCACGTTGTAGCCTACAGGTTGGGGGGAAAAAAGACTCTTGGTCCCTGCTCCCCACGTGTCGGACAAGACCGAGACCGTGAGTTCTTTTTAGAACGCGATGCATCGATGCGGCTGAACACCGGTGGCCAGTGCCAAGAACACACGCCACTGAGAGCAATGCACTTGGGTCCATTAAAGTATCCTCCTGTTAACGCCATGGAACCCGACGTTTCAGGGTCCTGGAAGACCATGTTCCTTTCAAATGGACCCTCTGCTGGGTTCCGCGTTGGTGGGCAGGAGGGTAATATCCACAAGATTGCCGTCTAATCGGCGGTTCAAGGACAAAAGCCTTATAAAGCCCCGGCACATGCTAACTTCAATAGACCCAGTCCACAGCGAGCGCTTGCTAGTTTCTGGGCTCGAGCAGCAGTCAGTCTCTGCCGAACAAGTTGAAAGGAGCAGCCAGTCTCTGCCGAACAAGTTGAAAGTATCCTGATCCAGAATGACCAGCATTTTATACAACACAACACCCCCTCCATCAACAAGCAGTTATCCGATGTGTGTCTGTCCGTGTAAGATTGGTGTATCTGGAGGGCTGCTCAATTCCATTGGGTTCATGAGATTGCACATGCGGAGCTAATGGGTTCATGGCCGGAGGTGCGGATGCGAAGCAATGAAGCAGTGATGTCCGAGGAAAACAATCAGTTTGTGCACAATGGAGCATAACCAATCAGCCAGAGTGTTCGTGGGACTGAGCTACCTCCAAAATTGAAAGGTACAAACATTAAAAATAGCTGTTTTACAGTGGCCAAGTCCGGGTGAACTTGATGCTCGACTCCCATAGCATAACTGTTGAAACAGGCGGAGGCTCGCAGTGCGCTCCAGAGGTTGACTCACTCACAAGTTCGGTGTCAGGTGTTGTCTCGAAACCCTTTGCCGCGGTGGGAAGCCAAACCAAGTTGACCTATGTTTGGAGGCTTGGATGTGCGGGTACCGGTCAAATTACATGAATCACCTGCAATTCCTGAACCTGTTGCATGGAACTAGGATGGTCAGGGTACACATTGCATCAAAATCTCCGCTGGTACACAGCCACTCTGCTTAGTTTTGCCTTCGGCTTTCAATCGGGGGGGAGGTTCGATCCAATGGCAGCCCCAAGCACGCTGTAGCAAAGCCAACCCCGAGCACTCCCTCAATGAATGTTCTGCAAGGCATAAGCCTGCAGCAAGCCAATGATCACTCCAAGGATACCGCCCACCAGGAGCAAAATCCATTCGTCATCCTGGAATATAGGATGAACAATACTTTCAAACTCGTCAGGGGATATGCGTGTCAATCGCCATGTCAGCGTCTCTTGGACTTTCATGGCGGAGTCCATGTACTCTTCAATTGCTTGGGAATGCTGCGGCAGCAACTCCAAAGAAAAGTCTATGACATCCTGCTTCATCTCATCGATATGTGTCCCAAGCATTGTGGGAGCCACCATTGCAACGTTCTTTGCGATGCCCATACTTTTGTCCACGGCACGGTTGACATGGTTCCTGTATATTCCAAGCACCTTGTCAACACCCGTCGAGTTGGGAGAGCGCAGCATATAATTCAGCATGGCGCGAGAGTCGACCACATTCTTGCAAATCAGCTCTGCCATTTTTTCTGACGCCTCCCTCTGGCGCTTCAGGAAAACGCCTTGCACGTTGACACGCCCATTGCAGTACTGGTGTGGCCAAATCGGCCTGAATATCATCTTGATTGCCAGCCAGTTGGTGAAATAGCCAATGATTAGTCCAGAAACTGGAAGCAACACATAGTCCATGCCCGGTGAGTTTTTCAATATCACGTAGAAAATCACTTGGACCAGTCCAAGAAGAAAGCCCATGAATGCTGCAATCCGTTGAATAAAGGTGAGCTCAGTCACAGCGACTGAGCGGAACATGTCCACCATCATGCGTGGGTTGCTTACAAACGTCTCGACCGCCATCTCTTGCAAATCCAAGATGGAACCTTAAGCGCCGCCGGTGACTGCCCAAAACAATGCCCATTATGGGACGAAGGCACAAAACTTGGCAGATTCGGGGGAAGAAGCATGTTCCTAGCCCACAAGCGTATCAAGCACATAACAGATTTGAGTCATTAGTGTCTCAGTTGTTCAGTGACCCTGGAGAAAAAAAGGGAACCCTTTTTTGGGAAGACCATTTTAGTGGGGCAGCCACCCAAAACAACAAAAAGGGAAAAGGGAGCCACTGAACAACTGAGGTGTTGACTCGAGGCGCCTGGGCCCGTACACGCAGGTTCAAGGCATGACCTTGCCACACCATTAAAAACGGCACGCTTGGATTCTGGGTGTGCGAAACTAGCCCAGGTGAGTTCAAATACATTCTGGTTGCCAACAGCAAGCAAAATACCATGTCACGCGATGATACGTGTTTTGGGCAAACGTATGCCCTTGCCTTTGAGATACCGGGTCTCAACAGGCAGGCAGGCAGGCAGGCAAGCAAGCAAGCACCCTGACGGACTGGTCTTGGCGCGGCTTCATCAACAGCCGTGATTCTCCCCTCACAAAGCCCCCCAAGTGAGTCCTGGCCAAGGTGGGTTGGGGGCGGAGAAAAATAAATAAAAATAAACCAGAACCCAAACCCGAACCCGAGCAAGGAGCTGATGTTGCTTCTCAGCTCCCACATGGCCGCTGCAAAGCTCTGCTTGGTGTCCTCCAGCACTTTCAGCTTCAGCTCAGACCGCACGGACGGGGGCAGCGCGGTCCAAACTGTGGGCAGCCGCTTCATCATTATCCTGGCAGGCGTGCACTCCCTCAGACTAACATGGAAGCTCCCAGAAGGCTTCTGTAAATGGAGCCAAGTCTCTAAAGGGGTCCTGGGAGCTTGCATGTTAGCCTGGGGGAGGGTATCAAAATCAGACGAGCCTCTCCGAATGTGAATTGGCATGCTCATCTTTGCCAACTTGCCAAGCTTGGAACATGTCAACATCAAAGCCGTCACTGCGCCTGGCTAAAAGGACTGGATCCAAAGCCCGCTTCTGGGAACAAAATACTCTTTTAAGACAGGAGCATGCCTTCCGCAAGAAAGGGGTCTCATCTTACGCGGCTCAAAGTTGCTTTTTAGCACTAAGCGCTGGTGGGAAGCTTGGACAAGCGAAGGGTGAAACACGTGTATGCAACTGGCGTTGAGCGAAAGATTGGCATCCTCACTATCTAGGTCCTCCAGTAGAGAGGTTAGAATAAGGGTACCCTTTTTTGTGTAGTTTATTTTAGTATGGGAACCCTCCCCCAAAAAAGGGAAGGGCACTACTGGGGGGACCTAGTCACTATTCAATCTCAATCTTAATCACTGCGAGTTTGGGGCGCAGCTTGGCAGCACACCTGCTATATTCTTGAAAAGCTGCTCGCAAATTGGGGCATCCAAGAAGCTGCTCGCAAGATCGAAATGGAGGCTTGGCCAATCACAATCCATAATCTTAAGCCACTACGAAGGGGATCCCTTGGTAACCAAGGTAAGGATTTAGGATTTAGGACCTTACAGCCCAGAAAAGGTCACCCAAAGCATCAGCACGTCCCACAGCTTGAGCAAGCAGACTCACGCAGATCAAACGGCTCATGCAAGTGATGCCACTTGCAAACTTCATATTTGGGTTCAACCACCAGGATATGGACCTCAGGGTTCAGTTCTTATTTCTGGGGTTACCCTACTTTTGACCCACACCCATATGGTCACCTGTGCCTTCGACCCCGCAAAACACGCTGGGTCTTCCGTTGAAAACCCAGGAGTGTCTGGGTACATCCTTTCTACACATTAAGGCTGTTTACCGCCCACCCCGGCTCAAACAACTTAGCCACATTGCATCAACGGACATCTGCGCGCCTACTGCTGAGCTGGTCGCCCCTCGAGTTCTCATCAGGATATTTGTCAGTGGTTGTTCGGTTGCCTGTCAGTTGCAGTTGGACAGCTTTGAGCTGCACTAACAGCTGCTAGCTAAACGGTGAAACATAAGTATTCAACCTTCAGGCAAGTGAAGGAGCAATTGTAATCATATCGAACAATCAGCTTCCCTCTGATTGGTGGTTTGGATGGGTTGTTTGGTGGTTCGGGGGTGGTTTCCCCTTTCCCAGCTACAAGAACCAGGGATTCAAATTCCAAACCAATCCAACCACCAACTAACAACATACAGCTGCAACCCTCACTTTGGAAGATATTTGTCTCTAGCAAAGTCAAGGATACATCAAGGAAGCAAGGCGCATGGGATCCGCAGGGATCCCAAACGCAGGAACTCCATCAAGCAGCGCACAAAAATACGAAAATTATTTGACAAACAGAAAAAATGTGTGCGGTGCAACCCCAGGCCTTTCCAAGACCTGGAAGCAAAGACCGCCCATCAAGTCTTCCAGGGTATCGAAGAAGTGCTTGGGCTCGATTCTGTCCATGAATTCCTCCACGGTGACGATGTTGCCAATCCTTGAACCCGCAAAAGTGATGCAAACGAAAGGGCGGGTCAAAAACCACTTGCACAATGCTTAGTCAGTATGCTACTGTGGATGGACGAAATCCGTAATCAACCATGGTCGAAACTATTGTGCGTTGCTATTTACAGGGGGAATCATCATTCCAGGGTTTTGGAGGGGAGGGGGGGCGGATTCTGTCCATCTATGTTGTATCACCAATACGAGCCTGTGGTTTGCGAGTTGCAGGCAGGTGAGTACAAGAAAGGCCTATTTAAATCGTCAGGCGATGGAAGTATAAGCGCGCCGCTTTTATCATTATCAGGTCAGCACAACTTTGTATGGCCCAACGGTGGAACAACCGAAAATCAAAGGCGGGCCAACTGGACGACGAAGGGACGGATTTGCAAGGCAAAAAGATATGCAGGCACTGCCTGGCATTTGATCGCAGCGTCACGTGTTCGCAATGAACCAAGCATAACCGAGCACCTAAAGGTCGGTTGCACTTGTTTGTGAAGTTTGGCTTCAAACCAGCATGCATGATGAGGTCCACAACTTGGCTTACATGTTTCAAAGTTTCCCTCAGCGTGAGATGCCTGGATTGATGACCCTTGAGCGCCGGACCAATCACTGCAACACTTCAACCAGCCTTTCAGACCAAACCCCTTAGCAGCGGCGAAAAACAAATTGAATCCCAGACTCTCCTAAACCCTCAGCAAGGCCTTTCTGAAAGCCTTCTTCCCTGGGCTTCCCTTCAGATCTGCTAAAAGTGACTAACTTTCTTTTAGTGGGTTAAATTCAGAAACTAGTACTAAGCCAACTAAAAGCAACAAAAGCTCAGAGACCTTTGATGGTTGGGAGCCACCAAGCTTCTGCTACTTCTGGGCAAGCCCCCTCCCCCCCCAGGGCCCAGGCATGCGCTCGCAAGCGCGGCGGGCCATGATGCCGGCCTTGCGGGGCACGATGCCCTGGCAGAGATGCGGCGCACCAAGCACTTGCGATCGGTGCGATAGGCAGGGAACGAGAAATGGAATGCCCCTATAAACCATCCAACTGGTGGCTTCAAGCACGCTGCATCACATGCCCGCTTAGGCCGGTTAAGCGTTGCTTGAACAACCTCCTGTGTTTCGTCCACTAGCCGTTTCAAACCGGAGAATGCAAGGCCTGCCAGCCATTGATGGGCAGACCCAGGAAGGATGGGACGATGGGCGGCCCGCACCCGAGGAAGTCGATGGGGAAGAACATCATTTGAAGGGCCAGCCACACCTTCCGCAGGGAAACAACTAAGGACAAATGGGTGTGGCTCAAAATTAAACAGGAGGGGTTACGCAGGTGTTGGTCCACGTGTCCACTTACCAGAGTTCCATTTTGGTATCGGTTTTTTGAGCCACATCCATATACAAAGTTGGCCCAACGTGTACAGGGCATACAAGGAACATTTGCCCAACATACACATATAGGTGTTTCTCAAAATTAAGGAACCCTTTGGGTGGGTGGTTTCATTTTGCTTTTCCCTCAAAAGTATCCCAAAATGGAACCCCTATTTTGAGAAAGACCAAATAATTTGTCATTGCACCCAAATCTTCCACCAAGAGGTAAAAGTAACACATATTCGCTTCAGCAAATGGACGACATCATTTGGCGACGCCCTCCAGTGGCAACTGACTTTCAAAAAATCTCCGGCGACCGGCCATAGGCTCAACCGGCATGCTTATTCCTGGGCCACGATAATTAATAAGCATCCCCAGTAAAGCCGCCGCAAGAATCCAGTCAATTTGCGCAAGGCAGCGAAATACTGAGTGGGAATAAGGAGAGACACGGGTCAACCAGAATACTCTAAAGAACACATATTTGATCCAAACGAAGTCTGGACATGGCGCAATGGCTGATGGTTTCATTTTGGACGGGTCATGTCACCTGTCATGAGGGTGCAGAGTGATTTTGTTAGGGCAGGGGTTGGATGAAGCCCCTCGATGAGCGCTTGCGCACGCCAAGCTGACTGCAGCTAGGACACATGGAACCACGTGAAGAGAAGGCAAACTAGCGGAACGGACAGCAGCTTCACCAGCGGTACCAGGTCAACTGGTACTCCCAAAGGAGTCTTCTTTTCGTTCATGTTGTGGCCCATTGTTATCCACGCCACTGCGATCCAAACCTCAGATAAAAGTACAAACGACTGTGAACACCGGCGGGCAAGACCGACCACTGATCAAGCGTACGGCCCTAAACATGGATGCAAACCCATGAAGCGAACGACTGCTCAAACACCGCACCTGTGAAGCAACAACTAACCGGAATCAAAACGTTGGGCATGACATTACATTGGCCACCGCAAGGCGCGGCTCCAATTCATGGCTGTCGATCCCAGCAGTCAGCTACGCGCGCTGAATCCAGCCTTAAGAAGTATCGTCCGCCAAAACCTAATGCAGGTTCATGTTAAGGCATCAGTCCCCAGCGGACTTCCTAATTCACCGAAGCACAAAGAGGAAACAGGAACAAGTCAAATGTTGAAGTTGAAGAGCTCTGCAAAGCTTATCCATGCCCTGCAATGGGAATCTTGGTGGTGTAAAGGTGCTTGGAATTCACCCTCGGCCTTTCGGTTGCCCTCCGGAGAGAAGGGGGGGGATGAACATGTTCCAACAGCATCCAACAGCTCATGCTTGCAGCTTGCAGAATCCTTTTTTTAACAGCGATCCAATCAGCGGCCGTTCGCCATGCACGATTCCTCTCACGGTAGGCGCGCTAGAGGCATGGTTCACATTATTTGGCCTTGCAGTTTAGAAATTCCCCCCCAATTTGAACACGTGGCCATTGAAACAAACGTAATGGACCCAAATGCTTGACCCTGCCCTCAACCAGCTTTTGTTGGGCCCATAAGACAAAAGGCAACATAGAGGTCACAACCAGATTTGGATTGGACAACAACCCTCCCCCCCGGCATTGAGTAACCACACCACACGTGCGCCCACCACGTTCTCTTTTCTGTTTGTGTTTGCATGCGTCTGTCTCACAAATAGAGTAACTGCTAGAAATCTAAAAATGAATGAACATATTGTTGTTGTAGTTGCTGTGGTCATGAAACACAAAAAGTAGCCTTCTTTCTTCTTCTTATATTTCCTCTTTCACATCACACGCAAGGAAACCCACTTTTAGCCCAACATGTGAAGTTCAATCCACTAGGACCCCTGCACCAGCGCGGGCGGACGCTGGACTGGACAGGGCCCTGGGGCCCCGGCCGCGGTGCCGGCGAAGACCACGACGATGAAGGCGGTAAAGGCGTGCCGCCGCAGAAACTCCACAGCCGGGGGGTAGGAGGTGCGCTCAGGAGGTTCATAACCTCCGAAGCGTGCGGTGCTCTTGCTTGCTTTTGCTTGCTTTTGATGCTTTTGCTTGCTTTTGCCACCATGGGTCAAAATCCAAATCGTACCCCCAGTGAACATCCGATTCAATCCAACCACTAAAATAGGTTCCAAAATGGGTGGTGCACCCCATTGGTTTTGACCCACAGCCACCTATGACAAAGGGTGTTGTTTTGCTTTTCGGAGTATGGCGCAGCTCCGCGCATCCTGCGTTTGGGGGGTCCATACATCTTTCAGTTCTGGGTGATCCCTCTTCTTTGGCGCTTGGTGCAAGCCCCAGACGCCCGTGAGGGAGACAGGAAAGGCACGAGTGGGGCTTCTGAATCACTGAAGGAGGCCCGGCAGACTCATTGACCAATGGACGCACTCAGACAAAGTCTTTGGATTCGCCAAAGTTTTTGGATTCGCAGCCAAATCTTTGGGAAGGCAGGTTTGTGACAAGCAGAAGCACATGTCAGCCTTGCATGTCCTTAGTCAAACTGAGCGCATGGAGAGGATCAACACAACAAACAGAACGACGTGGTAGGTGCTGAGCTCTTCTGCCTACCATCTGCAACCCCTAGCGTTAGCTCAAATCGCGAGCATCTCCAGGCTGTAAGTCTCTAAACAAATGAAGGATTGAGTCTTGCACGTTGGAGTCACGAAGTTATCTCAGATTTTCTCAAATCTGATATGGGTATGGGTCAAAATTAAACCACCAGGGGACGGGCAACCCATTTTGGGTACCTAAATTGGACCCACAGCCATATCCCGTTCCATGTCACCCACTCCGCACGGGAAAGGGTGCACTCTCAGACCCCCACCGAAGCGCTCCGGAGATTGCTGCCGCTGCGGCGTCAGCTGCAGTTGCAGGGATCTGGCGTCCCCGTCCATGGCGATGCCGTGGCGTTGTGGCGCCGCGCCGGCGAGCCGTGTGCGCGGTAGCCAGATCGGGTGGGAGAACAACAAAGCGCTTAAGCATGCAACAAAACATTTAAAAAAAGACAGACCTAACTTGAGTGGGCAAAAACAACAAAAAGGCCAGTTGGATTTCCACGACCCAAATTTTATTTGGCCCCTGGCCCATGATGTCTTACGATAGGAGTGTTGAGGGTTCTCAGCTTTGAAAGGTGTGGCTTTGGCGGGGTACTTGCGAATGTCTTCTGTATGCGTCCAGCCCGTGCCTGAGTTCAATGCAACTTAGACATGCCGTTGCAGCTGACACGTAAACGTTAGGCCTGCCTTGAACATCTCTTCACTGCCGCTCTCAAATCTCTGCACTGCGCCATTGTGGAATGCTCTTGCAGTAACTTGCTAGGGCCAAAGGAGAACGCAAATGTGCAAGAACCGCGCTCATTGCTTCGTCCGGGTTAAGCGGATGTTGGTGAAAGCCGACTGCCTGTCAAACCAACAAACTTGAGGGCAAATGGCCAGTGGCCATGGATCATTATGGGGAAAAGGGGCACCATGGCAGGTTGACATCCGGGGCTCTAGGCCAACTAGCTCAGGGCCTCGAAGCGACCCTGATGGAAGTGCGGCTGCCAGCAAATTTTCGGCGAGTGCTAAGCTACGGGCTGAGTGCGTGCATGAAGCTGGTCCTCGGGATGGTTGAGGATAGGCAGCAGCCCAGAATTGGGATTACCCTGGCGGGCTGGCAAAGGAGACCAGGGACGTCAAGTCAACAGAGATTCCGCCTTTTCTTTGGCAATTCCCGCCCTCAATGACGGGTGGCTGAAATGAAAACAAACGAGAACAGCTGTGAAAGCAGCCGTGACCATGTAGCAGGGAGGGGAGACATTCACCAAAAGCAAACTTTGAGGTAACTAGCCAAAGGAACAGGTCATAAAGCAAGACAGCAAGACTTACAAGTGCCATAGAAATGTGTGAACAAGTCACAGCTATTGGGCATCTGCTTTGAATAAGAAGAGGGTGAACGGATGGACAGTGAATGAACAGGCCGTTGAGAAAGGACGGGCTACCTCCCCCAGCCAATTACTTGGAGCCAGGCAATGCAGCCCATTTCTTGGTAGCAGTTGGGCTAACTGAGCATCGCTGACCGCAATCCCACAAAGAGCGGACCGCGCGCATGTGCTTGCATTGCAGCAAAGCCAACTCAGGCACTGGCTTGTTGCGAGAAGGGAAAAGGTTGGGGTAGTTCAACAAATCTCGGCAAAGACCACACAATCGCCGCACCTCAGATTCGGCATTCTTCTGATGCACTGATGTATGTGTGTATGATTGCCAGCTTCTCGCTTGTCTATAACTGTCAATGCCCAGCCGCTGGTCAGGACACCATTTCGAATCGCTATCAAATTTGGCCCTCTGTCACCAAAAGGTCGAAACATGACGAAGGACACATGTGGTCTGCGCTGCTGGCATGCCCAAAGACTCGAGACATCAAATACAGCCTTGATGCATGCTGTATGCTTTTGGGATCTTTCGGCAATGGCAGTCAAACATCTTGGGAGTAAGCTTGGCGATTGATCACTTTCACCTAGCGCCCCCTTTGTCCGTCAGTCTGCCACCCATCAATTTCCCCCAACAACCCTGCAAGGCTTAGCGTATCCGTGGAAACATAGGTGTCCTTTTGAGGGAAATAGATGGCCCTGGTAGATGAGTAAACCATCAGTTAAACCAGAGCCATCTATTCTTTTGCCAAAACAACCAAACAGGACACCCATCCGTGCAAACCTTCCAAGCCCCAGGCCTCTTCCTCGCTGATATTCGGGTTGGCCGCATGTGTCCGCAGCCAGCGCTTCAGCAGCTCGATGAGTCGCGTGCGGGGATCGTGGCGGTAGGTGCCGATACTGACAAAAAGTTTGCTCACAATCCGTTGTCCAATCACGAAAATGAGCCACAATCAAAACCCGGTATTAACATGGTCTACCCAATTCCATGTAAGGAGATTACAAAGGCGGGCGCAACTATTTGCGGTTGGGACTGCCCCTTGCTAACCTTCATCTACCCAGGTTTTGATTGTGGCTCAAACGAGCATGAAGCCGCCCCAACAGCAACTGCTCCAATCTCCATGTCCAAAATCCCAAGCACTGTCCAAAAAATAGTTGTTGGGGGGAGGGGGAGGCTGGAAGCCAACGCTCCTGGACAGCACGGCGAACGAATTCGAACGCGCGCAGACCGCCTCGTCTGTGCTCTGGTGCCCATCATGGTGAAGTAAGTGGTCTTCCGGTTTCCTCGGCGCCCGGAGGGCAGGCCCTCCTGCCAGTCCCCTCCCCCCAAACCAACGAGAACAAACCCTCACCCCCGCACCCCCAAACAGCAAACGATATACGAGAACCTTACATGAAAAACACCCGAACATTGCAACTTGTAAATGGTGGTTTCAAACTTTATTTTGGTGTTGAAAAAGCAACATGGTTCAAATGGAGATCTTTTCAGGAGCCCTGTTTCAATTCTTGGATTGGCCTTTACACCTTGGGTGCTGTAGATCCGCCAGCAAAAAGTCTAAGTATTTGCTGGTTAAAAGGAAATATGAGGGGAATCCAAAAAGTTAAAGTCGAAAGATCCAACCCAAATCGCAGTAGAGACACCTGGCAAGCAAGGGCATGAGCTGAACCAGCTACCCAGGCAGCCAACTACTGGCACGGCCATGTGGTGAAATGGACAAGTTCGGATCCACCATCTCCATGCTCGGTTGCATCACGTCACATACGCTTATCCATTGGGGAAGGGTGCGATCTGTCTATGTCAAAACCTACAAAAACACCGTCAGAAGCAGGGTGTCTGCTCTGGTTTGTACCGCCCATCTGTCTAAGGCGAGCGTCTCTGGTATTCCAGCAGGACGTCGAGCGCAGCTACAAGGTGAGAGTGCTCATAGCGCCTTAGACTCCCGGATTGGAACTCTAACAAAGTGACATCCACATGTTCTCACATCTGCAACCATGACAAAGAGATCAAAATACAACCGTCCAAATGAACCTGTGGCCTGTGGCCTCATGTTGCCGATTCACGTCCTGCATGTGCCACTTGAGCTGGGCAAACTCCACGATCCCATGGACCCCATGACAGCGCAAACCAACTAGGTCCTCCAGTGCAGAGGTTAGAATAAGGGTACCCGATGTGTTTCTGTAGTTTTAGTAGGGGAACCCTCCCAACCAAAAAAGGAACGGAAAAAGTTGGCACTACTAGGGGACCTTGCCAAACAAATCGATTGTGCCCCGGCCCATCCCGGCCCCAGAGGGCCCATCGCGCCCTCTGGAGCTCGCTCCAAGGCTGAGGCGGAACTCCGCCTCAGGTCAAGGTAGGGGGGGGCTGGCATGCCTCACTTGCCCCGGATGGGACCATAAAAATACAAGGCTCGCCTTTTGGGACCTAGACCAAAAAATGGGTACCAGAAAAGGAAAACCAACAGGTTGAAAGGTTGGCTTTGAACAACTGAGATGCTCTTCAAACTGGCAACTTGAAAGGCACTTGAAGCTCAGATATTTGGAGCAATCCTGGATGTGGGCCTGAACAATTGCCAAGCCGGGGCGGATGCAACTGACTACAAAGCGCTTGGGAAGGCCTGCTCTTGGTGTCTGTATTCTGTATGGTTTCTAGCACTGCACAAGACAACTGGCTGCAGTACTACATTTCAATATGCAGGCCAGCATCTGACTCTCTTTAGAAATGCCCAGTGTCAAATAAGTATGGGCGCAAAGTGGCATCCTTCTTATTCTCGGATGTGGTGGCTGGCCCTTTTCATGAGCACGCCCTGAAGGGTAGTAACAATCATCACTCACGAATCAGAACGGCATGCCAAAAGTAATACGAGGTCAAAGCTGGGCTGTCCTGGTTTATGTGTAAAAGGTGTCCCTTTATTTGGTGATTTAATGTGAATCTATGACATGTGTGAAAGTAATATTGTTTGTTGATACTTTTTGGAAAGTCATTTAGTTTATTATACCTAAACATGTACTTGATTGCCTCTGTTTATACATAAATTATTATCCTATGGTTGAGTATATATGACAGTTTATTTTTTTTTTTTTACTAATTCTTAATGTGGAACTTAATATCTTAATAGTATTATTGTCTTAATTTTTGATAGCTCTTTTTGAATACTTCTTTGGGGTATTTAATTAAACTTACATTTAACTTTTAGCGGGCTAAATCGAAACTACCGCTAAACCCTAAAAGTCTAAAAAGCTAAGTGGACGGCTGGGAACCAAGAAACAAACACGCGAACGAACTAGGCTTTCCCGCAAAATTGTCGCCTTGAAGGCCAGGTTTTGACTTGTGTCAAATCATCCTCTCAAGACATCCCTGGCAAGCCAGGAGCAGTGAAGACGTGGGTGAACCCCCCATGGTTGGTCAATGTATACCACCTTTTGCGCCTCAGGGTGTCACAGGGATGGCAGCTTGCAGGCTAGCGAATCGTACTATGCCCAAAGGCTTGGGTTTCGTGTATAAGCAGGCACCCGCATGCGTGTAAGCATGTGCGGCTTTGCGGATAAACTCGCGGCCGTTCAATCACCAGGAAAAGTTATTCTACCAGATTCGATTCTACCGCACCCAGTCAGCAACCGCTGCAACCCTTTATCTTACAAAAACAAGCGCCGCAAGGGGAATCAGTCATTGCACAACACTTAGATCCACTGAGCCGGGTTTGCCCACTGCCACTGGCTGCATCCGCATGCAGCCGAGCCGCGCTCTGTGGACGTGATTGCGAAGTCATTGCCGCCTCAGCCAAGAATCCGCTCACCGGAGAGAGGCCTTCTCAGTGAGCGCAAGGGCTCACTATGGCAACTGCTACGGCGACGGCTTGGGGCAATATCGACACCACAAACAAAGACATACGACACAGGCAGACACAACACAGGCAAGGTGTCAGGTCCTTGCAAAACAGGCAGCACACAGAAGTCCTGTGATAGTGCCAGCTCTTGGTATGTGCTTTGCAGCAAATCAATGACACGCAAAATGATCCCGCCCCGATCTTGGGGCTATCTTCCTGCGTGGGCATTCTGAACATATTCTGAAAATACTACCCTGTATGTTACAATGCATCCCCTCGAGCTTTTTCCAGCTAGTGCCGCCTTCACTGCTCATCTACTGTTCTGGCAAATGGCCCAGCTGTCCAACTGTTTCGGCGAAGGGGTTCGCCCAACTTGAACCTCATTGAGCATTTGTAGCCTCTAAATCCCTGGATCCAAACACAACACCGGCAAAGCATTCCTCAGCGGGTTTCTTGGGATGGGATGAATCAGCTTCTGCCAGGCTCGATGGCAAGGCATGCTCAACCCACACCTGTTCTCAAGCGAAAGGCGCAAAAAAGAGCATAGCTCAGAGAAAAAACCAGAGCACAAAGCCGGGCTATTCCCCGTCGATCCGCTCAAGTCGAACCTTCTGTTCCTTTGAAGCTACCACTCGAAGCCTACGGAACCGGATCGGAGTCGGGACCAAGACTACGGCTCAACCTGCGTCGCGTACAGGCCAAAGGAAGTTGGCGCAGAACGCCAAACATAGAAGCGGATGCCAAAGAATGACACAAACAAACCTGCAAACTTCACTACAATTCCAAAAGCTGAATTAAGAATTGGATCCCCAAGTAAAGGACCTTTGTCATGGTGCTCGTTCTTGCCTGGATCGGTCAGCTCGCTACAAAATAGGCAAACAAATCCACACACTTCTTCCCGCGCGTTCTGTGAAAGAGGTCCTCTTGTTTCGTCTGAAACGTCTGAAGTAATCCTAAAACCCCTACCACGCAAATGACAACAGTCAGACATGTGAGTGTGGCACAAAGAAAAGACCCCGGGTTACGCGGGTTTTTGTGTTTGTTTCCATTGGCCAGGCTGCCACTTGTTTGAGCCACAGCCATGTCCAGCCTCTTTTATTTGCTTAAGCTTCCTGGGAAAAAATAGAGAATATGTCCAGCAGTGATCGATTCCTTTTAAAACCAACAGGGAGAAAAATCTGATTCAACAAATGGAGGGCTTCGAGGCCGGGAAACCTTCCACCCCCTCACTCCGGCCCTGAGCCAGCTGCTGGCGATTTCTGTGAGGGCCGGGTCCTCGATGTGCTTCTTCACCTGGCGGTTCTGGCGGTTGGATTCGGGAAGCAGGTCAGACCATGGTGCAAATACAAAGAAACCGAAGGTTTCACGCAGTATCCGACCAATCGCCGGCAAACCAAAGTGGCCAAGGGCGGGCGAGAATGGAAGAAAACCCCAACTAGGTCCTCCAGTAGAGAGGCTAGAATAAGGATACCATGTTTTTTTTCGGTAGTCTATTTTAAGTAGGGGAACCCTCCCCAAAAACAGGGTAAAAGGGCACCACTGGGGGGGGGACCTTGAAGTGTTTCCAATGCTGAGCTTTCTGCTAAAAGTGACTAACTTTCCCCAACCACTAAACCAAAAAGCTAAAAGGCTAAGGGATGGCTGGGAGCCACCAGGTGCAGGTGTACTTGTGAGCGCCTTTCGCTTTTGGCACCAGATGGGACCATCATGCAAGTTGACCGGATTCTGCTCGAACACGCACCCGGGAGCGGACCCACATGGGCATCACATTGCACTCAACATCGTTCGCCTGCGTTGTGTTGCAGGACTTCTTGCCTGCATGGGACAGCACTGGAAGCGCAACATCGCATTCCGGTCAAACTGGTTCTATCCCTGCCATCTATGCCTTGCTGGTGCTCAGCACGGAATGATCCAAGGGTTTGGGAATAGGGATTCCCTTAAAGGAAACATAAGGAAACCATCCCCCGCAAGCTGAACAGCAGGCAAGTCAACCATCTGAATCGGCTGACCCAACGGACATCAAGTAAAGCTGGTGGGTCAAATTTGGCTAATCCGACAATCTGTATCCAAGCAGGCAGCGGAAAAGAAATCTTAACCCCTGGTTCATTGGTTGCTTGATCGGGGAGGGTGACAAATAGGGGTTGCCCCCTTGTGGAAATCCTTCCTTGCAGGAAACCACCAGGATCACTTTGAACCATCCTGGGCTCCCATTGGGACACCTCGATCTCGACACCCCACGATCGACATCCGGCGCACCAAAGTCTGGAGCACGTCCAGCTGCGAGCGCTGCAAGGTGTTCCAGTTCCCGGAACTCGGCAGCACCGCCTAAGCATCCGGACATGGCGCAACCTTTTGTGGAACAGGGGCAGCAAGGGTGCAACCAAACCCAAGGGTTCCTTGCCCCCATGAAAAAATGGCAAGGATCAAATTTGGACGACGCCAATCCTTTGGTAAGCAATGGTGAATTATGAACCCAACCATTGTTTGAATGGTGGCAACTGAACCCCAGGGCGAAGGTTCCGGAGCTGAAGTATCTTCCAAAAACCGCTAAATGGGTGGTATGTCGCAAATTTGCATCTACCACCTGGACTCTCACACCTCTGTCCCAGCCATAGCAGCCATGGCCCAGCGGAATTTGCGTTTCGCATATCAACTTCCACTTGGGACCCGCCGCTTGGGTCCAACCCTCGTCAAGTTAGATATGCCGCAAGTCCAGTCCGACATACGCTTGCCGCTGTCAGCCTGTGTGTCATGCCTGGCAAGCAACATCGTCTCGCCATGTCTCCCCTATGCCCCCCCCCCCAAAAAAATTGCGTTGCACCAAAAAAGCAAAGCACTACATCAAGAAAACGCGTTGAACAGCTGCAGCGTTCCTTAGCGCCCAAAATCGATGCCAGAACTTCTGACGCCCAAGCCACTGAACGTACGCGCGATACAAACACACAAAGCATGCTTGCAGTCTGTGCTGCGGATTTGTGGGGCAACATGGTACCCATGCTTGAATATGCGGATTGATATTTGTTCACTAGTCAAACCGGAGCACATGTGTGGGACTCCTAGCAACCCGTTGTACACGGATATTATACATGCATTTCAGGTGGGCGGTTGACTTGATTAATGTATCCAAGCGTCTTTTAATCAGGGGAAACTACCTTATTTTGTTGTCTCACTTCCTGAGCGGATTGGTCAGAAAAAGTATAAACTTTTTGTTTACGACTAAAATTGTCGTTCCAAAGAATAAAGTCCAGGGACTCAGGGAGCCAGTTGTCGTGGAGCATTTCTTTAGAACAGCTGCCGGTGCTTCGATCATCCCTTTTGTGTCTTCTGCTTCCGACATGTGCGAAAAGATGTTGACGAAACAAGTCGCCCGTTGCCGCAAAGCCCAACCCCGTGCTTCAGCCGTTTCGGTGCCCACACAGCGCGCGTTTTTTTCTTTTCAGGCCAGACGCGATCGCAGGATTTGAATCCCAACGCATGGATCTGGGTGAGAAAGCTGCTCTAAGGTCTACAAGAGAGCTCTGTACTTTCGGCAAAGCCGCGGCAATGCCGATATTAACACTACCACTCTACTGCAAATACGGCACCTGGAACCCCCAAAACACTCAACTTCAACACATCTCCTTTTCGTCCTTTTGGAGGTCCCCCGGTTTTGGGGGTCCAAGTAAATTTGCAGGGAGGCAGTGAAACGATGTTGGCAAGCATCGAGCTCGACCCCCGATCCGGATCGGGGTGCTAAGCGCTTGCAAGTGCTTGGGACTCTGCGCTTCGGCATACGGGCCAAACTTGTTAATAAACCAACCTGGGCATTCCCCCCAACCCGAAGGACTTTTTTGTTTTTCCGCAAAATGGGGGGGATTCCAATTACGTGATAGAACACCCAACAGTTTCCAACTTGGAACGCCCACCCACGGATTTCCTAGTGTAGTGGTCCATCAAATAACCTTCCACAATTGACATGAGCCTGTATAGAAGTAGAACCTTCACGTAACGCAAAACATTCATTTACCTTTCGTTCTCTGGAGTAATTCCGACTTCGAAAGAAGCCAAGCACTGTTGCGCGGGCGTGGGTAGCGCACTACCTGCCTGTCGGGACAATCCTGGCAGAAAATCCTGTAGACCAGCCAAATCGGGTCACAGGGGCAGCCGAATTCCGAGCATCTCAATTGACAGGAACATAGCTGTAGTTTTTTTCTCTGGCTTCTGCGTGTCAATTGCCATGCTCATAGGGGGGAGTGCAGATTCAAGAAGCATGGTACCACCGCATGGCCTTCATTCACGAAACTCGGTGTAAGGCCCTACGCGCTTCAGCGAGGCGTGCTTTGCGCACGGTGCTAACCCACATCCAAATCCGCTCTTCAGCTCGCTTCACTGCGGCCGCCTATGCGCCAAGGTCGGACCAAACTGGAGGAATATGTTGTGCCGTTGGGAGCAGTTATCGAACAGTTGCCAAGCACATGTCGTTTTTTTTCTTTTTTTAATGTTCGTGGACTATGACGCGCCAGATATGTCAAAGGCACTACACGCACACTGGCATTCAACATTGGACAAACGCGATCAGCTCGTGCCGCGCCATGAGAACACACGCATGAAATAGTTCTGGAAACATGGAAAGTCTTGGAACAGGTTACGGACCAAAGCTATGAGCTGAGGGCAAAATCGAAAAGCAAGCTGAGAAATCACCTAATTACCGGTTCATTTCTATGACTCGAAAGGGCTGAATCCTTTGAACAAACAACTGCCTAGGACCCAGCGCCTTCCCTCTCATCCTGACGCCAGCTGCATCTGATGACACCTCTTGGATGCCTGGCATTCGATTGAGCTCGCGCTGCAGAGCGTTCCGTCCATCAAGCTTCCATCCAAGCTGGAAGTAAGGCACATATTTGGGCGGGAGGTCTATGATCCGGGCCGTGCAAACCTTGGAATGCACCAGGTCGGCCGCGCGACGCACACGATCGAAAGGTCCAATGATGACCACGTTGCCACTCTTGGGATACCACTCCGCTTCTACACCGCCTTTCTTCAGGCAGTTCAAGTGCTTTTGCCCGACATCACGCTCAAAGTTGTCAGCATCGAAGTGGATAACCTGGCCATGGGCCAAAATCCAGTACCCCCAATAAACATCCCCACGAAAATAGACTAAAATGGGTGGTGCACCCAAATGGTACCATTGGTTTGACCCACAGCCACCTCTTGGTGGCACATCCTTTGGATCGCGGCAGCACAAGCGTCCACATTCTCTTCCAAGCCCCTGATCACCACAGCCATGGTCTCCTCCAGACTCTCTGAACGGGCTCTCGGGACATCGATGAGCACATCGTAACGTTCTTCTAGCTCGCGGATGTGTGATCCGCCCTTCCCGAGAATTGTGCCCCTCAGCTTCACAGGGACCTTCACTGTGTCACGCACCTTTCTTTGTATGAGAATGGGGTTGGGAGACTCAACAGGCGCTCTCAACGGCGCCGGATCTCTGCTTGGCGCTGCATCTGCAGTGTCCGCGGCAAAGGCTTCAAAGCTGTCCTCGTTGCTCCGTCCTTGCGCCTGAATCAAATTCGCCATGAGGGCCTCCTCCAAGCGAGCCATCACCGAGTCGGCACGGGTCTTCAGCTCAGCCGGCACGGGCCCCGACTGATCGACGGCAGCATCGGGGACTTCTGCTTCAGAGACCTCCTCCTCCGCGGGCACGGCACGCGCCACGTCGCGGTCTCGTGGCTGCACGGGCTCCTCTGAAAAGAGCCCTGGGACCTCATCGCGGAGCCTGTTCAGCTCGTCCGCGCTAAGTCCTGAACCAGAGCCAACTACAATAGCCGGACTTGGGGTGCCGACGCATCCGCACAACAAAGTGCATGATCAAAATGGTCGACCGGAAGGTGCCCTTATAGGGGCTTTATTTTGAAGGTGCTCTTATAACTTATATTGAGCAAGTTGACTAAGAGGTGTGAATCGGAGGTGGAAATTGCGGGGGGGGGGGGGGGCGTGTTCAAAGCCAAACTACGTGTTGCATGGGGATGGGTCATGTCACGGGGTGTTCCAAGAGGTCCTGCCCGAGCGCCATGGAAAAGCCCGTAGATGCAGCAGAGCTTCAACACGCCAATGGCGTCGCCGCCACCTGAGTGATCCCATGTCTGTTTCCCATGTTTGTGATCCCATGTCTGTTTCCCATGCCACGGCTACGACTTGAGGCCTCACGTTGGTGTTTGAATGGCTCGCTGGGCCTGGTTTCCAGGTAGATTGGCCATAGACTAAGACGTGACTAGCTGCTGGCCAAAAATTGGAAGGGCGCCGGAAAGAAAAGCTCAAAGGGCCCAAAACCGCGAGTGAGCCTGGCAAACACACCATAATTTAGAACGCGTGCCTGCGAGTTTACGGTCTTTCGCCTCGCCCTCCGCATCGTAGATTTGCGCGTCACAGCGAAGCCTCCGGAGGACATCTTTCCTCGCCCGTGCATCTGCCACAAGCAAATTACTTGGACACCACAATTGAACTATTGCCCTGTCTCCTATCCAACATGGGATCCCCCCTTCCTTAAGGGGGAGGGGCGTGGGGGGTCCCACAATTCCATTTATTCAGTCTTCCCCACAAAAGAGAAGATAAAACCCTAAATGGAATTCCAGATGTCACCCCCCTCCCCCAATTCCATTTTGAAGGGGTGGGGATAACATGGGTACCAATTAGAAAACGTGCAAAAACTTGCAAGTGTCAACCTCAACTCCTCCGACTCCTCCCGCTCTTGCAGCTCTGGGAGCAGGTTGCGAAGCTTCATGGCGAGATGAGCTATAGATATGCCCTTGGGAGCGATTGCTCGTGCCACCGCTGTCCACAAGGAGTTGGAGCGCTGCACCTTCAAGCCCTTCTCTTGCAGCCTTGGATGAAAGGCATCTTCAAACCGCAACATGATTAGAGCTAGGCCCAGTTATAGAATGTACATTTTATTGTTTACTTCACATGGAGTCTCTGGTAAAATGTATCCCAAGCCTACCCAACACCCAAAGTCAGGCCAGCGGGCCTGGGAGCCCAAATGCTCAAGCCAGCAAGCCATCTATCCCTGTGCCAAGTCGCCGAGCATCAAGAGCTATATCTGCAAATGGCTTCAGAATCTTGTGAATGTGCGGCCTGCGATCGCGAACTGTCCCATCCTTTTCTGCACGCTGAAAGTTCAGGTGTCCACGTCGCCTGTCCATGCCTAGAACCTCACTGCCCGATACTGTCACTGCAGAAAGGTCCAAACAAGGACAACAGGGATGAAGTTCAAAGTTCAAAGCCTGACGCACGGCAAACGGAAACACAAACCCAAAACAGGAATCAGCAATTCCGAAAAGTCCAAGGGG